TTTAAATTCGACTCACCATTTTTAGGACCTGAACTCACTGTACATGGTGATGGAGTACTTGCCAGGCGGAACACTCGTCAGTTGGATGGATGAGGTCGAGGTCATCTCTGAGACAGTCTGTAGATTCTACGCCGCCGAGATTGTCCTCGCCCTGGCTGACCTCCACGCCATGGGTTTCATCCACCGGGATCTGAAACCAGACAATCTGCTCCTAGACATGAGTGGTCACTTGAAACTCGCCGACTTTGGCACCTGTGTTCACGTGGATCCCAACACAAAGCGCGTGCGCTGCGAGAGTGCTGTTGGAACGCCCGACTACATCAGCCCAGAAGTTCTCTTCTCGCAGGTACAGCTCCTATTTTTGGTGACCCGGTTACTCCTAATCATCCACGCGTCGGCATTTGGAGGAACATTTTACCAAAATGCTAACGGCAGACACAATAATTAACAAATTAGGCTTAGTATAGTCTGCATTTGCTCTGAACTTCATCTCGCAAGCATCTATTTGCCCCGAAGCCTTTTGATTGTTTTTCTTTATTGATTGACCATCAGTTTCTACGAGTTTAGTGGAAGTGGCTCTACTGTTCAGATGTCCACACTCTGTCATTAATATGGGTAGCCCGCTTCAAGTGCCAGTTCGACCGTCGGTTTAAACCAGATTTCTGGAACCTTTTTGACTCAGAGAGCCAAGAGAGCAAATATTTGGAAATATATTTCAGTGAGAGCCATATAATATATTTTAAGATTTAATTCAATTATATGTGCGTATAATAAGCCTCATTAATGGAGCCAAAATCACAAAATCTGAAGTTTATAATTCCAATTTTATGTGAGAGAGCCAGATGAAATCATCAAAAGAGCCACGTCTGGCTCGCGAACCATTCGTTCCCGACCCCTGGTTTAGACGGTGTTTACCGCGTGCTTCAACAAACTGAAGGCAGTTATCACCATAGCATTACCCGAATGAGTCATCGTCGTATTTGTTGATAAACCCACTAGATTACCATCCCGTCTGTGTTTGCTTCAAGCAATGCCAGAAAATCGATGAATGCATGCGCATTAAAAACGCAAAGCAAATATTTATACTAATTCAGCAGTGATTTTTTCGCGGCTGGTTACATTACTAACCGAACTAATTGGAGACTCAGTTATTTGTACTTTTCCATGCGTCCCGGCGCGTACACAGCCCCTTCCTATGTGCCCTACAACGCAAAAAATATACTCAGCTACTGATTAATCAACCTACTAGATAGGTTCCCCAAAGCGTTAGTGCCACTTGAAAACTCAACCAGATTATCCGCCAAGTTAGTCGTGAGCCCGTATCACTGACTGACTGCTCTCCAAATGGTTGCGTTGCGAATGGCCACTTTAATGCAGGCAACTCATACAAATGCGAGAGAATACTCGTATTCCAGGAATGTCTCCTTTACCAACTCATACAAAGTTGTGCACTGGCGTGAGCACTTCGAGCACCTTTTCAACTTTGATGAGTAAGCCATCACGCATATGCTCTGCTCTG